CAGTGAACCATGCTTCTGGGCTGTTTTACACAAAGATTACTATAAAACGTTTGCAAATTAATTCAGATATTTTAAATTTCATCATTCTAAAATTCAAACACACTAAATTATTTTATGTTACCTGGTAGGACCAACTGTCAATATAACCTAATACTATTAACAATTGACCTAGTGATATATATTGCTCATATGTAATAATTCGATATAATATCTGGTTTATTTTGGATATAACCTTTCACAAAACACTAATTAGAAAAACAAATAACTTTAATTAATTTTTACTCGTCATAATTCAATTAAACAACACGTAGGATGGATTTAAAAAGCTTGACTGGCTTTTTTCGAGTCAAGTCCTAAGTCATAACTTTAAAATACAACTTTTATAACTAGAAAATATGTGCAAATTGCCAGTATTTGAGTAGATTCCTTAGGAGCATTACTCGTAGTTGCTGGGAGCACCGAGTGCTAGACGAACATGGTAAAGCGGATATTGAATCTTCTTAGACTGAGGTATTTGGGATGTGTATTACGTATGACCAACAACCACTTACATCGAAGTATGATGTTTTCTGGTGTAGTAGTAGTCTGGAAAAAAGCAAGCAGAGGGTTAACTAAGACGATGTATTAGTTCATGAAGACCTTAATCCGTAATTGAGATCATGAGCCGATCAATGTTAGACCACCACTGTGAACCTAAGAGCGCTGGAAGACGGTTTCGTCCTAGTATGTGACTCCTCGGTAGTACACACATATGGTCCCCCGCGCAGGACTCGAACCCAGGATCTCCGGTCTCGCGCGCGAACACTTAATCTTTAGACTATTGAGTTGGGACCCATCGGTGCTAATATCTACCTTCAACAAATCCACGATATTGCGTGACCATCTTCTGTTGTCTTCGATGGGTAAATGTATCACACTCGACATGGATTGGACTCCACTGGTCAAGGCTTCTCGATAGGATTCCAGGAAATCCATCTTGAAGCTAGTCGCTAGTGAGTACATGAATAATTGTTGGACTAAGCTATGTTGTTAGGTGCAGGATAACTGGTTGTGGTTCATGTGATTATTCTAACTACTGGTTGAAAATGTAGTGACATGGTTCAGAAACAGTCACAATGGTGCAGATACATACCTTTTTGTTTTCTTCAGGTTTTGAGTTTTGAATGTATCTTGTAAATGTCTGTTTCATAAATGCACTCGCTATATATATATGCTCCTCAGCAGTGAACATCCACTATCCCGCCTCGCAAGATTCGAACCGATGACCTATCAGTCTCGCGCGCGAGCGCTCATATTCTTGTATTTGTTAAGTCGGAAATTCCAAAATTTTTAGATGTGATATCTAGAGAAATGACTAGCAGTTAACGAATTTATTTAAATATAAAATTGACAATGTTAATTTTCGGAAATCGAACTGTCAACACTTCAAATAAGGAAAAAATGATACCATAGATTTTGAATGTCTTTAGCTATGCTACTAACTAAGAAAAAGTAGTTAAAGTTACCATTAATTATTTTTACAAATCTGTTCAATTCCAGTACCGCTTAATCGCTATTTCGTGATGCATTATATTAAGCACTATTATCAAAAATTATACTAGATAACTTCACCTAATGTTTATTCTCAAACAATCTATCTACATTAAGATTAATACTTGATGTGTGGATGTTAAATCGATTATGTTTTGGTGTATGGGCGAGAACGCAATTTTCAAGTTTTAAGGTGAAATTCGAATACCACTTATGATGAGTTTTAGAAATGTATTCTTTTTCCGTCGAAAACGTTTAAAGTGGTAACAGAAGGAAGCTTTATACCGCTGTAGACGTATAAACATTCGATATCTCAGTAGGTTATATATGACAGGTGTATCGACATTATCTTTATATCCTAACCTCATAAAATTAATTCCAAAATAAACAGTAATCCAGGTGTATTAGAATTAAGGAAGAAGCAATCAGACGATGCCCCGAGCATTTATGCACGAAATCCACCCTTAACTACAAAGCATGTTTTAAATATAGCTGACGCTAATGATAAAAACGCTAACACCGAACCGTTTATCTTTATCCTAAATACTTGATTATAGCTAGGAACAGTGTGGAAACTCTTGGGAATATATCTAAATAATAGTAAGGGTTAGAGAAAAGGGATAATCTACGTCTCTAATATCTCATTTCTGATATTATTTCTTCAAGATGCAGAGAAAGTAGTCTGTAGAGGACTTTAATAGATTCACTGTGTGTAGAACATGTTTACACTTTATAACGTTATTGTTTTCTTTTCCATAAACTACTCATTTACACAAAGCTTTTCTGACTCGCTAAAAACTAGCTAGGAAATGATGGTGGTTATTTTACATCCTTCCCTATACTACAACATAAAAGTTTCTCATTTTTGCTTGTCTTTAATGCTGCTACAACTTCTTGTACAAATATAGAAAACGTTGTAGTAGTCTTATATTATTTATAGTAAGCATACAGCTACGCAAGTTGTAAATTTACTATGATGTATTTATATAACAAGCTTGCACAAACCTTGTACAAATTAGTGATGAGTCCAACTATTCATGTGAATAAAAAAGGTGTTAATTAGTTATTTTGTACTTATTCACATGATTAATTATGAGGCTTTATTCACGTACAATTCCCTTATACGTGTGTATCTTATCTCACTAAATATTTTGACGATATAAAATGAGACTCAGTATAGTTTACTTGAATCTTCCCACTAATGTTTGAGACTGCAATTGATCAGTCTTATGTGCATACTGTGTGTACTATCTTAATTCACAAGCATTATAAGCAAAGATGGATAGTGGCTAGTAGTGGAATGCAGGACACACGTCTCATCCTGTTTGGGACTCGTCAACTGGATGTACCTGCATCTGAGTTGGTATTTACTCTGGGACTCTAACCCAGTACCTTTCGCTTCAAACGCCATCACGTTATCCACTTCGCTACTGCGTCCTGCTAGACACTTGCTTGTGCAAATAGGGTGAAGTTTAAATTCACTCGGTATTGTTTACCTTTATCTTCTCATTAATGTTCAGGACTGAAATTGATCAGTTTCTTATTGGCATATGTGCACAAGCAAATGGCTAACAGGACTCAGTAGCTAAGTGGATAACGTGATGGCGTTTGAAGCGAACAGAAGTTGGTTCGAGTCTCAGATGCACGTATATCCAGTTGACGAGTCCCAAATAGAACGAAAAGCGCGTCCTGGATTCCACTATTGACCATTATTTATCTTTGTTTAAAATGAGACTATTTATACAACGATGAAATCCTACATACATTACAAATGACCATCAAATCAACCCAGAAAACACTCCAGTTGACCACCAACCATATCAAACCATACATCATGTTGCTGCTCAACACACACACACTTCTTACGCCTTATAGGCCATACATAGATAGTCTGTTGGTTACAGTGTATCTAACAATATATTTATCTATCCATCCCAAAAAATGTTTTCTATCAAGCGTCCAATACCACATTATCAGGTAAATTCAACCATAAAAACAGGGATAAATTCTGAAAAATAAACAACAACAAAATTAACCATGAATTTTAGAAAAATTAGAATGAGATAGATTTGAATTTCACTTTCAAATATATTTCATATATGAACTCAACATATCATATATGTGACTTGTCTTAAACAGAAACATAATTGAAAATAAAAATTTGCACTTATCACAAGAATTATATATGTATATCGTTGAAAGAAATCCAACATTGAAAAGTATAAAAGTTAAATAAATAAATAATACTGTCAAGATCTTTTATTCATGAATAGAATAGTCTATATAGAAAGTATTATTTAATAATTTATTGGTCAAATAATGAAAATGCAACAAACAAGGTAGTTTATTATTTGTTTGTTTGTTTTAAGTACGAAAATATAAACAAACCAATGGTAATAAAGAATTGTATGTAGAATAGAGAATTAGTTGAGAAGTAGTTAATGTTTAGTTAATAATCAAAATACTAATGACATTATCATATTGATTATATAAGTAATAAGAGAGAGGATAAGACAAAAAATATACATATATTTTGTGTATAGTTGAGGAAAACCAAATAAATAAGTGAAATGAAACAACAACTACGAGATCTTATGTTTATATTTATGGAGAAGTAATTAAGATAAATAAAACAACAACAACAACAACAGGATTAATACAATATGAATTACTGAATTTATGTTTGAGAGGGAGAGTAAGAGAGAGAAAAAAATGTACAAAATGTAGTAAGAATTATGTTGGATATGGCGCATTAAAAAAATCTAGAAAAGAAATGGAATACTAGAAGTAAATGGTAAAGAAAGAAATATGCCTAGAATTGATGATGGAAGAAAACGTAACCTGAAAAAATAAACAGAATCAATCAATGGTTGTTGCATTAGTATCATTTATTTAGTGGTGGGGGTAATTGAATTTCATAAGACTTGATAGATAAAAACAGGTTACTTGGACTACTTACAGGTGGGGAAATGTAATAAGTACAAATATTTAGGAAGAGATGACAAATGATACACTTACGTATGTATAACAAACTAAACATTACATGAATCGTCCTTCACAAAGTGAATGATATAAACGACAACCACAACAAACAATTAACAGAGAAAAAACAAACAAATGAAAAGGTAGTCAATAAATCATGATAAGAATCCTCTCTTTACGTGCACAAACACATAGAGGGGAGGTGATCAAGTTCCACTTAGTTTAAATATATGTATGGAGATTAATATGAGAATCATTACGATACAAATAATCAGTAGAGCAACATAACGACGTGAAATCATCATACTAAATGAAAATAAAGTTTCAAAGAAAGAAAAACACAACCCAAAACAGACAAAAAGTGAAAATAATGTTAACAAAGAGAGATATGACTTTGAGAGGAGGTATCAAGTAGTAATGTAGGCAGTAGATAATAAAACAAACAAAAATACACACACTTACATAAATACATGAAATTATCATCATTGTCAATGAGGTAAATGCGTAAAACCATAATCAGAAACTACGAGATTATATGATGAAGCCAACATTGAATGACGCCTAGGCAGAACCGGTCTAGGTATGATATATTTATCAATGGAATAAGGAGGTGTGAACAAAGTTCGACAAGTTAATGTAGATGATTTTTGATGCTTTTTTAAACGTTTTCTTGATTCATGTTGCATACGTAGTTTAGTAGGAAATAAATTAATTGAATTATTATTATTGGTAGAATTCACAAACAATTGTTGTTCTCGTTCGTGTTCCTGTCCTTCAGTTAAATTAATCTTGACCACATCATGATTAGCATTCTGTTCATAATTTCCGCCAACGGTTTGTTCAATAGTTTGTTGTTGTTCAATTGTTGAACGATTATGATTCTTGTCATTGTTATTATTATTACTACTGACTTTTGAATTCAAGGTTTCCGAGTCTAATTGAACTGTTGTTGTTGTTTTTAGACAATGTGACGTATTATTATTACTGTCATTGTGATTACCAACTGATATTACAGTTTTTGAACGATATGGACGCTAGATTACATAAGAAAGAAAATAATGTTAGTAAAACCTTGAAATGAAAATTGAATACTTCTACTAATAATTAAAAAAAGTTTAGAATAATGAATTTGCTTTTATGATCATCTTATTGACTGAAATTGTAATAATCATGAAGAGAAATAACTAATACACATGATCGGATCTAATATGGTCAGATATACTGTATGTGTTTTGGTATACAAGAGATACTTCAACAATTGTAATCCATTTAAACAATTTTAATCAAAACATTTAAAGATGATTGTAATTTTATAAGAAACGACAAGAAATCTTGCCAAGACAAATTTCTCAGGAATGAAAAAGGGTGTTTTTTATGACAACTTAAACATGTATGAGAAAAAAATAAACTGCAACAAATGGCAAGGGGTGTATTTGTATGTTTTATGGATAATAAGATTGATACATATATAATTTTGTGAAATAAAGATTTATAACCTTAGTCCATACATTTATTGGAGAGATAACGTCAGTAAAATCCTCTTTGGGTATGCTGATGAAAAGTGTAATGCATACATGTTGTGTAACAGATTTCTTTTTCAGTGGTACTGTTGACCAGCATACATAAGTTTCCTAGATTTAGAAAATAATAAACCGAATATATATTTCTAGTAACTTGATATATAATTGAGTAATATTGAATAGTCGCTTCATTTTTCTATATGACACATACAGGCATAAGTATTTCATTAGGCAGAGAACAAAGAGGTCTTAACCTTAGCAATAAATATGTGTGGACATCCTGTGAACGGTTATTGAACTCAGTTTAAAAATGTTGGCATAGTACTGATATTCTGGATATGCGACGATTTATACAAGCGAATCAATGCCACATATATATAACACAGTAGTCATCAATATTTCTATACATTGATAAGAGAAAACTCACCAGACTATTACTGTGAAGATTATGCATTACTGGTGGTAAGATTAACAAAAAAACTAGTCAACAAAATTGAAATTATTCTAATTAAAGGCAAAATGTGAAGTAATGCGTTTTAAAGTGGAATATAGATCAAGTAAACAAACAAATGCTCATATTAACATTTCGCAAAGTCAGGGAAGTTTTTCAACATTATAAAATTGGGATTTTCTTATTAGATGAAAATTATAGATGACGATTCTCGTAATAAATGAAACGATTGAAACAGTGTATACATAAATACCATCAACCAACAGGATATTTCCCAACTGTACTAAATATCGATTTGTGTACTCGGTGTTGAGTTGCAACTTTATGTATGAGGCTTAGTGATACTATCTGATCACTCCAAACTAAAATAGGTGGAGCGACGACTCAGACCTGCGGTTTAATGATTGGAAGTAGAATACCTTAACTATTGACTCCCACTCTACCATTCTGCAGTTGAATACAAATGACTGAAACACATGGAACAGTTGACTTTATACCAGTGAATACCTAAACATATTCAGTTCAAGTTGAGATCACAGTATGAGACATTGAATAATCACATAAGGAAAATTCTTGTCAATACCAAAAATGTTGAATGGCTGAAAAACGTCTTATTATTACAAACAAAAAGAGATTATATTGATTGATTAAATTTAGTGTTATGATTAACATATATACTACCAGACTAACATGTACAATAATTCGACAAGTTTGGAGCTATTTCGCGTAGAATTCGGGGTCGGTCAAATAGTAAGGCTCTATTCAAAATCTCTAAACAAAAAGTTAGTAACTGTTTCTCAAAGTTCTTATTACAGGTTTTTGTTTTAAAAGTAAATTCAAAAACCTATGATATTTATCATGTAATGTTGCGTAATAAACGGAGTAATAGGAATATTACACCAGTATCGTTTAGAAAGACTAAGTGTTAAAATCGACGCTATCTATAGTGTTTATTTTAAAGTATTAAATCACTGTAATTATTAACTCCGTGAAATTGTTCACTTTATTACTGCTACAATTAAAATAAACTGAGACTGTACATATCGATGTGAGGTGCTTAAAGGTAATCAGTAGGAAAGCCAAGACTGATATTTCGTACTGATTCGGACCCATTAGCAAGGCATAATTGTAGTCTTAAGAAAACTGGTAGTCCTCATAGGATTCAAACCCCTGTTACCAAGTTTCATAGTCTAAGACATTACCACTGAAGTGTTGACAGTACGACTAACCGTTTGAATGACCGAAATATTTCTATACCTAGTACATCCACAACCACCAAATATCAAAGTATAGTAGGTGTGATATCGGGTCACTTAATTGTGTGGTCACAAAGCAGTTGAATCGATAGAAACAATGAACAAATAAAGACTAGAAAGAGAAAACATTGGTTACTAGACAGTAATAAATGAATAGGTACCATTCATATTCTATTCCTACATCGAATTAGTCAGTTTCTAGAAAAAAACGAAACAAATATCTCTAATTAAAGTGATAACAGTTTACATTATGAAGTGATAAACTGGGAGAATCAGGTATAGACCAAATGGTAAGTGGGAGATACTGATGAGTGCACACTACTGGTCAAGATTTGGATTTGCTTTAGCTGGAAACATTATGATAAATAGCTTATACGCATTCAGACATGAAGAAATAATACAATGTGGTTTAGAGAAGAGTTTACTTTCGGTGAGTTCATTTTCAAAGTTGATAAATATTAAAGATCTTTTAGTGGCCCTAAATCTGACTCCAAATGGTTCGTATGAATGTTAATGAAATACACATATCGTTAATCCTCGTATATAATCATCGACTTAAATCGCGTTGGTGAATAACGGAATTAAATAAGTGAAGTACGAGAATGAATGTTTGAATACGGATATTTTTTATACTCATTGATCTGGACAGATAATCAGAAGGATGAAGTGAAGAAAAGAGAGGCGAGATGCCGCGCAGTGGAGGTGTGTGAGGCAACTCCATTTAATCAAGCGTTAACCAATATTTACAGCCAGATAAAAATAGGTTACAAACATATGATGAATAGGATAAGTGTACATACATACGCTAATATAAAAACAATCAGGTTTGCTGAGTAGTTAACACACGGTCAAAACGTGACTCAAGAAGAATGGATAAATTGGCCTGTCCAGAAGCTAGAATAAGTTATGTGGGCTTAACATAGTAACCGACACTACAATCTTAATAACCACATTTTGAGTTTCTTAATAGGAATAACATTTTTGTGCGTTTGTTTATTTTACCTCTCTGTTACCATGTTCAAAGTAATAATGATAACAATATTGTCAGTATATAAAGTATTGATTATCATTTTGAGATATAAGTACATATTTAATATTGTAAAGATTTAAAACTTGTTGGCAAAAACTCTCCATTGAAAGTTACTGGTTGAAATCGTGGATTAATTTTCTGAAGGAAACATAAATGTGTTTATGAATGACTTGCGCACATATTTTCGACTTGGGTTAGCCAATAAAAGCTTTCTACTAGTGACTCCAGGTTTTCTCATTCAAGAAAGTGGCTAGGTTAGCATATAGGAAGACTGTATATTAATGTCAACCGTATGTAGATAGTACAATTCAACAATTTCCAAACAGAATATATATTACTTTTGTTTGCGAGTACTTCGAGATTACTGGACCTTTTGATCTCGATAAATATTTCTATGCAATTGGGGCAGTAGCATACAGTAAATATAATAACACAAAAATCATATATAACTCAATCGAAGGAAGTTTATATACTAATTAATTAATCAATTTTTTTAACAGACTACTCTTCACAAAGTGAAAAACCGATTGAAAAAACCATACGACATACAAACCAAATATACGAAGGATATTTGATCTATAAAGCGAAAGGAAGTAAAAAAAAATATTGAATTCAATTCTTATAACAGGGTATAACGTTCCCACAATAGAGATTGTAAACCACATGTATATAGACATCGTCATATTATTTATGCAAGATAATAATCCCCTCGCACACACCACTGTCCAGAGAAGAGTAAGCAGAAGAGAGGAATAATAAATCGAAGACTCAACAGTTATGGATTGATTATTAATGTAAAGAGTTTATGAAAACTGTTGAATTTTATAGCTTACATCATGAACTAACCATAGTTAAACAATCACTAAAAACTAGCAAGTACTGGACAGTTATTTCGTCTTAGCACAAAAATACTTATCCACGACTCTACCGAAGGAAGAACTCAAAAGCTTCAAGATTCGTGCTCACTGGTGACTAATTTCGACAGGTAAATCCTGGAGTATTTAATGAGAAGCCGTTATCAATGGAGTTCAACTATGTCGAGTGTAAAGCAGTTAATCACTAATGACACTGGAAAATGGTTGTGGGACAAGTAAGTTACTTGAGGTTAGGAATATAAACCATTGGATCCTTACTAAATGATCGAATGGTTAAGCGCTAGTCGAAAGATCTAAACGTCCTAAGTTAAGTATTCGGTGGAGTCGTAGATACTCAGTGATGAAGTGTACCATACTAGGACAATACAACTGTCTAGTGTTTTCTAACTTTAAATGGTTACCTAGCCAAAGTCAATTCATGATGTTAACTATGAGACATGATCATTAAAAACATTTTAAATGTAGAACATAGAAAAAGAATATTCCTAAAATTTACCTTCATTAAATTAGGTGAAATAACTTGAATATTGCTCATACTCTGTTTCCAACAATCAGATGATGATAATGACGATTTTATAACATTGTTATTAAACGATGTTGTATTATAAGTGGATAGTGGAGGTGATTCAGAAGCATTACGTCTACGTTTACCGGAACAACATGATTGATGTGTTTTTGTAGTACCTGTTGTAATTGCTGAGAAAGTAGTTTGAGATGATGCTTGTGAACTAAGAATCGATGAACAAATTGTTGATGATGATGGCAAATTTGATTTATTACGTTTATTATTATGATTAGTAGAAGTAGTAGTATGTGTTGCAGAAATTGAAGCTTTTAAACGACGTTCAACATCTGGTAGGATTAATGCAGCAGTCAAATCAGAGATAACACGATGTGGGCAATTGAAATGACGTTGATTAAAATCATTCATTAAATTAATATTATTATAATTGTAACTAGAATTGGATAGTTTTTCATTAGCAATTGCAGATGACCATGTATGATGAATGAGATTTAATGGGATCCAACTACTATTACTATTACTTCCACCACTATTAGAATCATCTGATAGATTTGAACTACTTACATTTCTTTTATGAAGATTTTCCAATGAATTTAATCGTGAAACAGAATCAGTTACATTGAAATCAATCCAATCATCAATGGAATCATGTATACTGGATGTATCACATGGATTATAATTAACATAATTTTCTTCATTGTTCTCTACACATTTTATTGGTATGTAATTATCGTTAATATTATTATTAGTATTATCAACAATTGAACAAGGCGACTCTGTGTTACATTCATAAGGAGCTGATAAAACTGAATTGGTTGCGCGACTACTTCTATTATTACTACTACTCGTAACAGGATCACCCCATAAACTTGCTCTATCTTCTTTAAGTAATTCAATCAATATATCATCAGGTATTAAGTCAAGGGCTGACAATAAATTCCGATTATCTGTCAAATCCACATGATCTGGTTAAATAATAAAATTAATAATAATAATGACAGAGAGAACTTGTCAAGTGAAATATATACGATATTACTACCATTAATACAGATATATATATATATATATATATATATATATATGTATACATAGAAATTCAACAAACAAACAAGTATTTGTATGATTGTCAATAAAGAGAGAGGGAAAAGATGAGACAGTAGTAGTATTAACTATTAAGTACAATATGTACACTTAATAAATATTACAGGTAAAAAGTTGAAATTTTCTTAAGAATGACAATATAAAATATATCACATATTATTTCACTATTCAATATGATCACTGGGGGATAATATTTTATACATAAATTAATAGATTCCAATCTAGTCTATGAACAGAAAATATAACCTGATAGAAATGAATGATTAAATAAAGTGTATAAATTCATGTAAAAGATTTTTGACTTGTAATCGTTATTTATTTGATAATTCAGTTAGTCATAAGCAACGTATAGTCTGGTACAAGTGTTTATTAATCCAAACTCCTATATCATATTAGCAAGACGAAATGAATAAGATAAATAGTAGACAAATCAGCATAATGTAGTAGTAATGATAATGGGAAGGGCTAAATATCGGGAGTACGGTTTGACAAGATGGAATCAGATGGTGTAACATATACTGAAATTCAAGATATAGAGTAAATGTATCTGTGTCACCGTGATTGGTCTTGAACTAAGTCATCAGAAACATCAAATCACCGATTGCGATTATCACGCAAACCTCAACCAGGTAATCTGTGTTTACTGAAATAGCTCAGACCATAAACTGACACCATGGTTGGTTTGGCTGCTTCTAGATTTCTTTTAAATTAATTCCACACTACGCAAAGCCGCTTGTTAAGGTAAGCGATTAGACGCATGTAACACGTATCCTAACAATCTCAATCGATAATGGTTCACTACTTCATCAACTAATTTGCTATCTTTACCTAGTAACCCGTATCTAACCTCAACATTACTCATACAGTTTTTCCAAGATATAAGAGTAATGCTTCGAAAACATCTGTGAGTAAAAAACTTGAGGCATATGCATATTTCCCACTTTCGGGGACCATGGTTAACATCCTTATCGTAATATAGAGTGGACTAATCTACAATATGCTTGTTCTTTAGTTGGTAGAAGGATATTTTGCCTACAACACAAGCGAAGTAGTTTATCAAATACCAAACAGACTTTCTGAATCCGTGTCGAGATTTTGGTAAATATCAACACACCTGATAAGACTTTCAAACTAAGTGAATTAGTCAATGTGCTAAACTACTTTAAAGTTTGATATAAGTTTAGGCGTTTACACAGACCGGACTCTGAAGAAATTAACTTTTACTTACTATGTAATGACTAGAAATATCAAAAGACTAAACGTTGTTAACAAAATTAAGTTAGTTAAGGATCATATACTAGCGACCCCACTGGGAATTGAACCCAAGACCGTTGAGATTCGTGGTATGCTGTCTCTCTATCCAATCACTGAGGTGATGTCCAACGGTTTATATTTCTAACTTCAGTCAACCCGCGAACCCTAGTGGGCTTGTGGGTTCGGATACTGATGAGGAGCCGCATACTAAAATGAAACATCTGTCCACTGATTTTTTTCCAGTAATCTATAATGTGAAATTTTAAATCTAACAATCTTCACAACATCCTACAATTACAAATAACTATGTTTTTGATAGGGTAGATGTTCCGACTGAACAGAATAAAAATAGTAAATTAATATACAAAACATTTACATGTCTAGAAAAAACTAGTACAACCAGCAACAAAAAAACACACTAGACAATAACAAGTATGCAAAATTCAAGAATAATAATAAAAATAATAGTAGCTAGACTAGTAATATCCCGATTTTTCTTTTCGCAATGAAGAATTCCATTTATACAGTTAAATTTCACAACTCTATCTAGGATATTATTATGTATGGGAAAGTTTATACATTCTTCCATTCATATTTATGTAAATAAATCAATTCAATTAGGAAATAGACAGAAAAAGTGTCAGTGCTAATATTGAATTCCAATAATGAATATGAAAAAGGTAATTAGAATGATTATTGTATTATAAGTTTGAACACCAACATACACACAGAGTATTTATAACAAATGTAAATGCTGAAATCATTACAGTTTTGAAATTAAAATATACTTTGTTAAATTTCATAACTAACTTATCATTCATGGGATGAATTTAATATAAAAGTGAATATATTTGATAGTGTAGTGAACAAGAATACGAATGGGGACAACCGAATGTATTTGAGCACAAAATTACAGAACATCTCATTAAAATCTGAGAACCATATAGTACATATGCAAAATATTAATCCATCATCTCAAACTTGACTGTTCCTTTTGCAGATATCAGTCACTCATCTAAGATTTCATTGTTCATGCATTTTCATACCAATTGCTCTTCGTTTCCGGCCTTTTCTCTCGATCTTCCACTGAAATACATTCTATGTCTGACCATCTTTATATACTACTTATGTGGATATAAGTAGCTCACACTACAATAGTACTGTTATAGTGAACGACGTCTTGGTGGGAAAAACCAAATTAATTGTTTCATGAGAAATTATAAAGTGCTTTCGTAAAATATGAAAATCATACATTAAATACATTATTTGTAAATCTTTTATATGTTTCACGGTTCATTCAATTCTGTTGTTATTACAATTGTTCTTTGTTTCCATTCCTGTTCTCTTCAATTGAATCTCATCAATCTTCTGCAGCAGGCATTACACTTCCGATTGGTGAGACATACTACTTAAATCTGTTAACATGAGTAGCATACACCAGACTATTAGAGGGATAATCTTTTAAACACTAGTTTTCATTAAACACATATATAAAAATATAAACTAACCCTAAATCCTACCAATGAACCTTAATTATGACTGAAAGCCCTGACACTTATGACTTTATCACCAGTATAGAAGAATTCCTGAATTATGTAGAAACAATATATTCGTTGTAAACCCTGATTTTTTGCATTATATTCTTATCTATCTAAGGTTTCTTAATATCCAATGATAACCTAATAGATATATTAGTCCATAATAAGAACAATTACTTATCAAGTAAACTATTGAAAACACACTGGATAGATCTGTTTCCTCTTTAAAAACAATTTGCAATCTCTAGTTAAATTTTCGATCATTATAGAAATCGTTTAGCAAAAGCACAACAACCGTCTATGTGCAAATAAATTTATGTGACATCTTGCTGACTAGTAGAATTTTAATGAAAGAGTGACACTGATAAGTCTGAGCCATGTTGGTAGATGCAGACTACTTGGTTGGGGTCCGCGTGACTATCGTAACCAATGGTTGGAGACTCTTGGTGACATGGCTCAGAATCGATCACAATGGCGTCGGTGTATACACTCGGTTTCTTCCCTTAAACTAAGAGATTAAAAGCGCTTCATATCTTTCTTTCTACTAACCAATTCTTTCTTCTTGTACTATATCTCTATATGCAATCTTTCTCTTATATATTACCACCTTTTACCTAACCACTGTTATGAATCCGGTGTTCATCTTGTTGTACTGATGCGGTATGGCAACCTGGACCGATGCACATAAGTGCATGGTTCTACGTTGTAGCTGACTGACTGACTGACTGATAAGTACTCAATACACATACATGTCTGTTGACTAAAAATAAGGTTACATTACTTAACTATAGAAAAGTACTCAAACATTCAGTTTTCATATAATAAGTCGTAGATTTCACACTATGCTCAATCAGTTATATATGTATAACAAAATCTAAATACACGTGTATTGTGGAAATTACATAAACGTATAATCTTTCATATTCGATTTATAAGTAATCATTCAGACAATAAATCAGCAATCAGAAAGCATCCGGAACTAAACACGTCCAATATTTTCATCAACACAGTAGATTAACGATTGTTCTACCGTCACATCATTCGTGCAGTTATTATCACAGTCCATATTTAAACACATGAAGTATTAAAACAGGAAACACCAATTAGTTGGTATCATAAACCTAAATATCTAAGCATCCAACATAAAATATAAGTTGAAAAGTACGATTAAACACACAAAAATACAAAACCTGGAGTTTAAGTTAATGAAATTTTAACAAAACAGACAGGCTTGAATAGTCAACTTTGAACTACACATTTCTGTGTTAGACAGCAAGTGATACTGACAAGTTACTGGGACTCGACAACAGATCCTTTCACAGAATTGGTTGTGTACAATGGGACCATCGGGAGGACAACCTTTAAGTTAGATATAAAGTAGTGGGTAGATATGGCAAATCAGTTGATAAGGTAGTGAATTCTGATAGGTTAAAGTGGTTGGAATATGTAATACGTACGATCAACTGTTATATCCCGACGAGAATTATGAATGGTAACTTTTGAGAAGTATTTATAGATAAATATTATACGTATATTCTTAATGTATAACTATTCAGTAGCTAGATTATGTATATCCATACTTCTGGAATTCGGTATATCTTAGGCCAGCAACTATTAACATCATGGATTGATAAGTTATCTCAATCTATCCATTTCAACGATCTCCTCAACCTACTTCTATATTTGTCAGTGTTATACATTGTTATATCCCAACAAGAATTATGAATGGTAACTTTTGAGAACTATCTATAGACAAATATTATACGTATATTCTTAATGTATAACTATTCAGTAGCTAGACTATGTATATCTATACTCCTCTTATTACAAGCTTTATTTTGACCAATAGACTATTATTACACGATTTACCGTTCCTGAATTATGCTCAGTCTATTAATTACAGTCTCCCACATTCACAGGCACTTTTGGCTAGAACTTGTATACGTGTTATTTTCTATTTTATAGTACGATGTGGTCTAGTTGGTTGGTATATAAACCCAGTATGTTTGAAAGACATGATTGATATCGTGGAGGCTGGGATTAGTGTCCTGAACTTAACAGGCAGAGCTAGGCAGGAAGAAGGACGGATAAGAACTCTAGACTACTCGTACGGGTCTGTGCGTCATTTGTTCTGTCGATAAGTCACTGTTTTCTAATTGGCAGTATCATTAGGTTATATATTAATAGGGCACAACACCAAAAGTTATAACACCAACAACCGCCAAGCTCGAAGCGCGATGTTTCACCAGTGTATATTTTGTGCCTATTGCTTTGTCACTTTTAATATTATCGCCACTTCTACTACTCCGGCATCTCACTGTGGTGATGTAGTGTGGCGGCTTGTACCAAGGTACATATGTGCTAATTTTTACATTACTTATGACATTGACTAGTACTAATCGGTTGTATAAATAGAAGTAGGTGGAACAGGGTCCGAGGCAAGGACAGTACGGTGGAAATTAAAATGGATTAACCAGTAGCCCAAATGATACATTCATAAATACGTAATGAATACATTTTAACAGACCAGTAGAATATATACAATAATAAGCGCTAAATGAAGTCTGTCAATGAATGAAAAACAATATGAAGGCTTAATTAAATACTGAGACGAAAAAATACATTGTATTGAACTCTTAAGATAGACAGAGATATCAGCTGATTAACAATACTCTATTTAACGTAACATTGATGTACAAAAATGTATATAATTGGCATAACAGAAACTTGTAAAGAGAATAAATAAAATAGTTTACCTGTTTCGGTAGTCCCAACATTGGCAAAATTATTTGAAACACCATTCACATTATCGTCAGTATCAGATTTAAGAGCTTCCGATAATGTAGTTATTGAACCTTCATCATTGGGGAATAGTGGCGAACTTGGGAACACAGAGAAATGCTGTTGTGGTTGCTGCTGTCTTTGATGATGATGTTGGTGGGGACAATAATGACTGAAACCGTTTAAGTCTGAGGGCACAGAGACAATCGACGCAGATTGTTGATGGTTTAGTAACATAGATTCAGTGGAGTTATCAAACGATGAGGTATGATTAGAAGGAATCAGATCTACTGCTGTTGATGCTGCCGCCACAGCTGTAACTAGTGTTGCCTCTGAATGGATATTATCTAAATCGGGTGATTTTTCATAAGTGCCTGAAAGATTATTCCCTCCAACCACTAAATTGGGTTGAATATTAATTAGTGATACATGATAACTGTCACATGCTGACGACTGGGACAATGTAGTAGTAGTGTAATCTGTTAAACAGTGAGTTGTTTGTCCATACGAAAGGTTTGGTGATAATGAATGCGATGTGTCAACACAATTATCTATTAATGGCTGTACAATAGGTGTAGATGTTACAACAACTGGTGTTGATGTAACTGTTGTCATGACTGTGGGTGATAATATTTTTGTTCCGATAGTTGTTGTTAAAGAGGATGGATTGAATAGTTCAGTTAAATCACCTGGAAGATGACCATGGAGATGCCCAGTGAAATGAGCTTGAAATGATGCTTCATCAGAACAAATAATTTGACAATCTTTAAGCGGGCATGCAAAAATTAACCGCACAAGCTGATGTTGAACTTGAAAAATAAAAATAATCATAAAAATAGTATGAATTACGCTTTGAAAAAATATTACTGGTTGTTTACAAACTGTTCATTAAGACAAAGACTTCAATAAGGGCTTTGTGTTGATGTTTATTTTGGATAATAATTGACTAAACATATTCATATATCCGTGCTAGCACTAACAGATTACCGTAGAATTATATTTTAAACTAACAATGCTAAGTACTTTCAGAGGCATGTGAATCAATCGACCCACTAGATTAATACGACCAACACACGAATATACGATCTGAATTCGTGGAAGAACTTATACTACTAGCAATAAGTGGAACTGAATTGAATTCATCAGATCTTTATCAGGCTACAAATAATTACAGTTTACATCACTAGTTAACCTTAGTAAGATCAAAATTGAGAATCACAGTGTACTGAACCGTAGTTTAATCCTAAAGCGGGACGCCTTAGCAGTGCGCATTTACAGACTCCATTAATCCCTAACAGTAATAACAATCATGTGCCTACTGGTGACTGATTTTAGTGAAAGGCCATTACCAGTACGGTTCAACCATGTTGAGAGTGAGACAACTAACTACTGACAGCAGTGGAAGGTTTTCGTGTAATGTCGCGAGCTGATTGAATTGAGGAATGTAAACCGATGGATGCCAACTCAGTGTTATACAGGTTATAAGCTAGCTGTGGGATCTGGAGGTCCAATGTTCGACCTCTGATGGAGCCATAGATGAGTATTGCTGAGGTATCCTCTACTATGATAAAACATTTTCCATGCTGTGACAGAACTAAAGTAATTTTGCTTAATTATTCACAGGCTAGTGAAATTAATTAATAAAGATTTGTAATTTCCTATTGTTGATATTCCTGAATGTGGAAGTAACGGGTTCGAGTCTCAGTGAGGAAAGGATATACCAGGTACATTTGGTTGATGAGTCCCAAATAAGGTAAGACCAGCCTCTTCCAGGAATTATTATCCAACATTAAAACATAACTAACTTTATTGCATAATGTACAAAATTTAGCACCAAATATACACTGACTTCAGATACATTGAGGTGTAGCATTTATACACTGGTAGTTAAGAAACAAAATGAGAAAGCCATAATAACAAAAATCTACAAAATTTTTGTATTACTTACTTTCCGGAAAATGAATACTTGTTAAGTGAGCAGATAAATCAGCTCTACCTGAACACAAATAGGTGCAATTATCAACTGGACAATAGACACAATCGGTTTTTGAACAACTCAACGCATGCACACCACTTATCCATTCACGTTGTTTAGTTTTACATAAATTCCAATCAACAATATGCCCACAACTTGGACATTTATTACTTAAATTATCATTATTATTATCATGATGATTATTGTCAATGTTATCACTATTCATATTTAATACTTGTCGAGGATCATGACCAGTACTTAATGTACGTCGTCGACAATTATCTATTTTGCAAACTTTTTGTTTATTCACCGTATTTATGCAAGATGTTGACAGATTTGACAGTGCTGATAATTGATGTTTACATTGAATTGTTATATCAGATGGATTTATTGAATTAATTGTATTTTTAATAATCGGTAAATCATTATGACTACCACCGCTGACTGATCGTAATCTAGGCTGTTTTCTGATTGGTTGTTTCATTAATACTGGAAGTTTTGTTTCATTTGTTAATGAATGTATAGTAACATCATTTGAATTGGTACTGTCCATATCTACTGAAATCGGGAAATTATTGGAACATATATCTGTGTTTAGATCTAATAGGATATGAAAAAAATATAGGTTTATTTTATAGACATAATAAATAAATCAAAGTTAAAACGAATGCTACTATTATTGTTAAATTAATACTAGGTTGCCCAAACAGAAGTAGTTGGAGAGAAATTTGAAGCCATGAATTAATGGGTGAAAGTCAAACACTTCAACCACTGATTCACCGAGTATTTGTGGTTAGATACCTCTTACTTGATAAAATTCTCAGAACCTATGAATCTTTTTATTTCTGTCACAGTTGAAGATATCATTGTCTAATTATTATGTGAATACTCTAATGGGCCAATTACCGCCTTGTTTTAAAGATAATTAAAAAATGTTTATTCAAATAAGATTTATTGGTAAGTCAAACAAAACTTTTTCTAATTAAGGTAAAAGGTTTATTTCTAGATCTGCTGGGGTTAAGAAAAAAAACGTTTACGTTCAATTCTATATGACAGTCAGTGTGCTAAGGGTATCCACTTATACTAGATAGACATCATAATTCAATTACACCAAAATATTTCCCTTATTGAGTTCGTGTGTTATAAAACCAGTACAATTACTGGTACAATCAAAGGTCTTTAATATCTGCTTCTAAATTTCTGTATGGTACAGTTTTGATTTTTATCTGCGATTTGTTTATACACCTCAGCTGCACAACACTACACCTAATCTATCATTTGCTAAACACTGGTAGTTCATGTACCTGGTTATCAGAGAGACATTTCTTGTAAAGCCTAGTTATAATGTTCAGCTCCCGAAACTGAAGTAGGGGCGAAAGTACTAAGCAATTGTTGCAAGGTTCTTACTTAAATGGTATCTAGTCTTCTATAACACTTCGGATTAACTACACCAACTAGTCACCAGTTGATAACTAATGTCATAATGAGCATATATGTAGTGCTGACTAAATTGGTGTATCAGTCAAGTGCTTTAATCTCGTTAACATTTTAATGTATCTTTTAATCGCTTACGTATAAATAGATTTTAATGATAATCACTTTTGTGTTTAGCATTTTCCATAGAAAACATGTTGACTTAGGAAGAAAATTATTATTCTGATAAATAATTTTGTTTACTATTTCAACTCATCTAGGGATTGGAAGGATCAATAATTAGATCTTCTGATCAGTTATCACTGTATAACATTGTATTAAATCATTACATTTATCTACTGATCAGCAATTTTATTTTAATCTCAATCTTAAACTTATTCACATTATCTAATAAAAATCCTACATTATAACAAAACTATTCAATATGCCAAATATGAATTCACTATATGATCCAATTTTATATGGAATTTCAATAATGAAATTAATAGTGAATAGTAAAAAAAGCAGAACAGGAATTCATGTCAACACAAAGAATAAACAAAATTTGAAAATATTTCTTAATGTAACATAATATTCACCAATTATCATCTGTAAAGTTACTTAAAACGCGCGGGTGTGTGTGTGAGTAGGAAACTAAAGGAAACCAAACCAAAACAAATTAATTCATTTGCTTAACAACAACAACAACAAAATCACATGGCTCTAAATCTAAGCAACAACAGTAATAATACTGTTCAATCTGAAAATTACGAGAAAGAAAATAGCAAGAATATAAGTAAAAACAAACTAGTAGGTAGTGTAGTAGTACAAGACACGTAGGCGGGAGTTAATTTTTATTGTGACAAATTACAAAGTGTTCACACAGCCTTCGATTATTCATTTGTATGTTGTAGTTTGTTCTATATATCTACTTACAAGCAATTTTGTGAAGAGCGTCCACCACAGAAGAAGTAGTGTAGTGGACGCTACTTATAAAATTAAATGTAAATAGTATGTTTCGGAACGTGGTGTCGAAATCGTCAAACTGAATGAAGAGTTCCAGTAGAGTGAAAACACGTCGTAGGCAGGACACTTGGAGATCAGATGAGAAGACAGTTCAGATTACAGAATGCACCGACATATGCTAATGAATGATTGAAGGCTATGTTTATGTATTATGTAAACGCTTTGTAACTTCGCACAATAAATATATACCTTCAGCCTACTACTCTATTTTACAGTAGTAGTAGGGGTTGTAGGAGACATCAAAATAGACTGGTTACAATGAAAAATCTATTGTGATAGGCTGTTTTTCTTTCTCTTCAAAAATAAAAAAGACAACTATTCGTCAACATTATTATTATTTCACAGATTGAAATCATGAGTCAGTTGAAGCAAGACCACCATTGAAAACCTGGAAGCACTGGACGGCCGTTTCGTCCTAGTATAGGACTCCTCAGCAGTGCGCATCCACGACCCCGCACCACCCGGGGCTCGAACCCAGGCCCTACTGGCTTCGTGCGCGAGCACTTAACCATTAGACCACTGAGCCGGCATCCAACGGTGTTAATGTCTAACTTCAACCAATCCACGGTGGTGCGGGGTCGTGGATGCGCACTGCCGAGGAGTCCCATACTAGGACGAAACGGCCGTCCAGTGCTTCCAGGTTTTCAATGGTGGTCTTGCTTCAACTGACTCATGATTTCAATCTGTGAAATTTCTAAAATCTCCACAAAACCCATTCTGATTATTATTATTAATAAATAACGAGTGCAACAAATCTTAGCTATAAAGATTGTTGAATGGCGGGAAAAAGTGGTCAATTAAAAAACAAACAAAGAATATTTCTTTATTATACGAGCAAAACAATTGTTTGAGTAATCTAACAATCATATTTATAAAGAGTGATTCGCTCGAAACGCATATGTGCCAACAGACACAGATCAATTAGAGTGAATATCAACAAAATGAAAATGTATACAATTACGAATAAAATTCATGTCTCTTGAGAAAGCCAGTGTTTATATGCGCTTAGGAACTTAATAGAAAACGCGTTGAATGTTTGAAGCAAAATGTACACCCCGGTACGAACATCAACAATGCAATATGATACGTACAAGAAACAGTTGACGAGCCTTAAGTAGAATGGGCAGTGACCATCTACCCTCCCAAGTGGGCGAATATATCTATATTTATGCTTTGGGATACATGTGAGAAAACTCATGTGTTATCGGTATGCATGTAGATTATACTTGCGCCTAGTATGACACTTGAATGCCAGAGTCTGGTGGCAACGATTTCCCCTAACAATCATCCGATGGGTTTGTGAGTCGTGCAAAGTGGAATCCATTTCCAGAAAAGTCCATCGGTTTCAACGGATAAAGTTTGACCAGCCTTAACACGGCTGGAATACTGTACTACAAGCTAATATTTAATTTTAATAATCACTAACATTGTCTCTAAGCACAATCAAACTGGTAAGGAGCTTTCAGTAAAGAATTTGGGACGCTTTACACTTATATTCTTTGTAGTGCAGATTAGTTACATAGATGAGAAACAACCTTAGTATCGATGGAATTTATGATCTATGTCTTACATTTGAGAATTTTTTGTCAAGTTACGTAGATAATAATGTTATCAAAAAGGTCATTTGAACAGCATTTTCACACCTACAAAAAGGTTTTATACATAAATAATTATGGAAAGAAAATTCCATTCTCAACGGACTATTTATTTCATTCCCTAACCGTCGTAACATTTAGTCAATATAAAATATTGGTATATGCTTTTTATTGTTTATTAATGGATGTACAGGATAAACACATATGTTTCTTTAATGAGTGCAGGACTCACACATACCAAATCTATAGTTCATATTATAGAGATAAACCTGAACTGTAATTATTTTTTTTACGAGCATAGGGTTTTGTGAAGATTGTAGAATCTTCATAAATTAGATCATGAACTGATCTTAATTAGAGAACCATTAAAAACCAGGGAGCACTGAAGAGCTGTTTCATTATGGGATGGAACTCTTCAGCAGTTTAAATCTACTACTTTAAAACTAGGATATGAATTCAGGACTTTCGATCTCGCGTGTGAGTGTTTACATTTTAGATCACTAACTAGTAAAAAAGTAAAAGTTTAATTAATTCATAATATTGTGCGAGGATATTAGAAAAAACTGAATTAATCGACACTATTGTGACTAAGTTCGAGTTGGGAACAGATATAGTGTGGTAGACGAGAACACAAGTGGAAACAATCGAATGTGAGTACAAAATTACGGAACATCTTAGTAAAATCTGAGAACAGTACAGTAAATACTTCATTTTCAAAATATCAGTCAATCGTCTCAGACTTTAATGTCCCTTCATTTCCACAAAAATCATTCTCTTTTCTTCGATTTTCTTCTACCTCCAGGTACTTCACTTTCGATTGATGATGCATATTACTTATATCTATCGACATAAGTAGCACACACCACACTAGGATACTAAGTAAGAAACAACATTGACGTGTGAAGTATGTCCTAACCACTTCTTGTCATGATGTATGTTATAACTTTTGGTGTTGTGCCCTATTAATATATAACCTAATGATACTGCCAATTAGAAAACAGTGACTTATCGACAGAACAAATGACGCACAGACCCGTACGAGTAGTCTAGAGTTCTTATCCGTCCTTCTTCCTGCCTAGCTCTGCCTGTTAAGTTCAGGACACTAATCCCAGCCTCCACGATATCAATCATGTCTTTCAAACATACTGGGTTTATATACCAACCAACTAGACCACATCGTACTATAAAATAGAAAATAACACGTATACAAGTTCTAGCCAAAAGTGCCTGTGAATGTGGGAGACTGTAATTAATAGACTGAGCATAATTCAGGAACGGTAAATCGTGTAATAATAGTCTATTGGTCAAAATAAAGCTTGTAATAAGAGGAGTATAGATATACATAGTCTAGCTACTGAATAGTTATACATTAAGAATATACGTATAATATTTGTCTATAGATAGTTCTCAAAAGTTACCATTCATAATTCTTGTTGGGATATAACAATGTATAACACTGACAAATATAGAAGTAGGTTGAGGAGATCGTTGAAATGGATAGATTGAGATAACTTATCAATCCATGATGTTAATAGTTGCTAGCCTAAACTATATCGACTTCCAGTT